TCTTAGCCCGGACCCTATCGTATAATTCGTTCGATAACCGTCTAATATTATTCGCCGCGCGCGATATCGAGACCGTCGAGTGACGTTAATTACCTGCCAATTGCTCGTAATTTTAGCCTTAACAGCGACAGATATTGATACGGCGCTCGGAAAAGACTCACAGTGAGATTAAAATCTCCATGAGAGTGTAAAAACGGATACCGAGATATAAATTCATCCTTCTTTCACCCATTATCGCCCGTCACACTTACTTGTAGCCGAACGATAGATACCTCTCATTGTCGATTTGCAGGTATAATTTGCGCCGTATTATTACCTCTTTATCGGCTCGCGGAGAGTCAGAGGGGTTTCGCACGATCGCGGTGAATATTTCACACGGACACTTTCCAGCGTGTCGCGATTGCTCGCCGAAGCTGCTACTGAGCATCCGCGGCTTGGAGAAAGGCTGACGAGAGGACGTCAGCTCGTCGTTAATTAAGCAGCGCCGACGAGCAGGTCGCGAAAAGTACAGAGCTGTCGATGACTTGGGCCGAATTGCTCGCTGTGTTCGTGTCGGCAACGCGAATCGTCAGTCGCGCGGCCTGACGCACCGTCGCGAGACGCTTCGCACGCGTCATTAAAGGTGTTAGCCCGTTCACGTGTGTGTGTGTGCAGATGCGTGTGTTCACGTGTGTGTGTGTGTGCAGATGCGGCCGTCACCCAGTGATTTTCTAGTCGCGGCCCACGAGAGGCGGCACGCAAATACTTGAAACTATTAATGGCGGCTTTACACGAAGCTGGCAGCGAGGCGAGTCGAGTGGCAAATTACTCGCTTATCTCTTTCTTTAATAAGCAAATCGTCGTTATCGTTATCCGCTTCATGCAAATATCTAATATGCAAATGTGGATTTCCTACACACGAGTTGCCTCTTTACGACCACACAACCGCGATCGATTACATGAGAAACTTAATCGTTCCCATTTAGCCGTTTACACGCCGATATTTCTCTCGAGGGCTGATCTCCTCTCTCGGCGAAAATGTCGAAAAGGGTGATTGCCGTTTGCCGCGAGTGGTCTCCGCCGGACTCTGCGCGCGAACGTTTCTCTTTTCCCGTTTGCAACCGAACATACACACGTCTACGTGCGTAAACCACGCGTACTGGATGTAACATCAACATACAGATCAGCGATGACGGGTTGCCCGCTCCTATTCGGACGATTCGGAGAAATTGCCGAAAAAGTTGCACTCGTTGATGACACTTGCGGTGCTCTCAGTTGCGACGAGTGCAACTAAGTTTGCATCGTTTTTGCATCGTGATCGTTGTGGCATATTTGTCGATTGCAGGGGTTTCTGACAGGGGTCGAGTCTCATTGAAATAAAAGAGATGTTTAAAAAGTGAAATTGAGAAATAAACATTACGGATCTGAGCAAAGTAAATAAGAGTAACAGTCAAGGAGATAAATAACGCAACATATTTTCTGGTTTCACATAATTTCCTAATTTCTTTCTTGCGCTGGAAAGTTCGATAGAAATTGAAGATCAGAAACAACGGTAAAGAAGTATTTAGAGAAGTATCTTATATACCGTATTCCATCCATGTTTCTACAAACGATCATTTCTGATCGACGACGATCATTGAGCCCTATCTCCGATCAAACGAAATCGGCGTCAAGATGCAAGATTATGATGTACCGAGAAACATGTCGCTTGATAGTTGTCGTCGATTAAGCTGCAGTCAATATTTATACCGCTTTCCCGGTCGATTCACATACCTCTGCAGAAGCGAGTGCAAAGTTAGTTGCACTTGTCACAACCTAAGAGCACTGCGAGTATCATTATTGACAAAATCAGCGAGTAACTTTTTCAGCAACCTCTGCATTGTACAAATAAGAGCAGGCAACCCATCATACCGACCTGTATGTTGATATTACACTCTGTACACACACACGACGATAATCATATGCGCGCATGGAGCGCTTCGCAAGCGTTCCGTCCTTCCAATAATTCTTCAAATCGCTTTCGGACGGGTGGCAGTTAAGTTAAAAGCGTGGTCTTCGGAAAAGCCATCGAGAGAATCTCGAGCGAGACTTCGCACGCGAGAAGATCGAGCCAATGTTAGAAGGACTAGATTTCCGGAGGCGACGGATATAACGTGCAAGCTCCCGTACTTTCTATCGCCTGGAATCACGCTCGTAGCCTGCTGACGATGATTGGTTCGAGCCGGACAATAGCCGACAGTTCGTGCGGATTCGAACAGGAATCAAATCGCTACCGAGACCTCGACCCTCGTTGTCCGTTTCGCGCACAGCCGCTCGGCGCACGGTAAACAAGGAGCGCCGGATCACCGAGTCGAGTGTATATTACAAAAGCGCGTTACGGAAGAGGGAAACGAAGCGCGATAGTAGCGTCGACCGAATTTTATTTCGCGATGCGTGTTCCTTAGGGCACTCGGATGCTCCCATCCGTTAAATCCATCGGCCGCCACAGCTTTATCCCTCCGCGGATGCACACAGCCAAATTTTTGCTTCGTTCGACAAATTACCTGCGATTCATCTGATTTCAGCATATTGGTAGTTTTACGAAGCTTTTCTCGCGCTCCTTAATTCTGCGCGCGCGCGCGCGTCCGCGATCTCTCTCTCTCTCTCTCTCTCTCTCTCTCTCTCTCGCTCTCGTTACACATTCTGTCAATAAACGTTATCGTCTACCGTTTTCCAATGTTTACAATTGCGATGAACTTTTGCTTCCGTTGTTCCCGACTCGCATACAGAGAGTGTTCGCCCCGACCATTAATCACGATGCTCGATGCGTCCAGTTATGCATTTTTATCTCAAATATTTGCGATGCCGCGCGCAACGTTATGATTAATTAATTACACGGAGTTCAAACAATGGCCGAAGCATTCAGCAAGCTGTATCTTGCACGTTGGGCGAAGTGCACGGCCAACGCGCCGATATTACTGTGTTTTTATTGCATTCGCTGTCCGAAAAGTGCGCCTCTTCCTCTCTTCCTTCCTCTCCCCCCCCCCTCTCTCTCTTTCTCTCACTCGTTCCGTTTGAAACGAGCTTTTTCGCACGATAGCGTTACCGCGCGCGTGTGTGAGCCGCAATACCGCGCGTGCGAAAGCCGGATTACATTAATTAATATAAACGCGGTCAAACAGAAACACCACCGCCGCCCCGGCGGTGTCTAAATGCGAGCCTTTCAGGTGGAAAAAAATGTAGTGGCGAGATATACGCGCGACGTCCCCCAAAATCATACGAATACTACCACGCATTACGAGGACTCCAAATTGTTACGACATTTTGACCTTTGGCATTAAAACCTTTCTCGCTCGCGCAAACGTGCGATCGATGCGCGCTAATGCGCGGTCGATATACACTTACAATTTTTCTTTAGACGAGGTGTGAAAAGTGAGAATCTCAAGGAAAAAGGTAGAAAAATAACAGGAGAGCGCTCAAATAACGCAAACACGATTGCGGCGAGTCCACCGAAGAAAGGAAATCATTGTTTCGATCTGTCTTCGACCAAAATAATAACACCCTTCATCTCACCGGCGTAATTTTTCGCCGGACCGATCGGCCTTTTTGCCCGACGCCGATACATTGAAACGGCAAAAATATCAGCACTTTTTCGTCGCCATTCACCCGCTATACGAGCGAGAGCGAGGGAGCGAGCGAGCTCCGTTAACACGCGTTAACAGCTTCAACCTGGCTCAGTTTTTTTTACCGCTCCATCTCGGAGCGTATATGTGAGTGTCTCTCCCCCCTTCTTTCCCCTCCCCATCCCCCCTTTATCCACCCTGAAAATATGCGTCTGTCTCGCTGTCTCTCTCTCTCTCTCTCTCTCTCTCTCTCTCTCTCTCTCTCTCTCTCTCTCTCTCTCTTTCTGTTATACATCCGCCGCTAAACCGCCCGCCTATCATCCGTCTCTCTCCGTCATCCCCCGATTTCAGCACATAGATTACGACACCATCGGCACGCCGGTATGGCGTGCGCCCATAAAAACCGACCATGTATAAAACCGTCGTGTTGCCGCGTGCTCGACGCGAGCGAGCATTTTCGTCGAGTCCCTTCTTACACCTTACGTCGTTCTTTTTCCGCAGGGTCCATCCGTGTCGCCTGCCGTGACGCGCCGCGAGCATGAAAACACGGCGGAGAACAAGAAACATAAAGAACGATAGGTTGGCCGTTACTTGCGAGACTTGCCGGGGTCGACGCAACATTTTCACGCGTAATTCGGACCACCGTAAAAAAACAGCGCATTCGAGGCGCCGACGAGTTTCGCGAAGATTCGGCAGCTCACGCGCTCTCGTGAAAAATGAGTGCCTCGTGCTGCGCTACTTTAGCCGCGTGTATTTGGTTATGAACTTTGAATCGATATTTATGGTTTCTCCGGCTCGTCATTACGCGCGGTCGCGCGAACTGGTTTATCCATGATGAGCGCAGCGCCAGCGTGAGAGACTGGCGGCGACTTTTTGTACGCGACGCGCGTCATCTCTGCGGTCTCGCTTCCATACGCGTGTCAGGTAATAACGATAGTTATTAACCTTTCGTGCCGGCGAGAGCCGTAATGATGTACTGGTCGAAATAACTCGAATATCCCGTGTTACGACCGCGGATGGTTGAAGCGCTAATACGGCGTATCTGTAATACTGACGCAAATGTACGGTATATTCGGTACATTCCGCGTTTCAATAACAATTAATTGAGCGTCGAAGGAACAGCGAGGAAAAATGAGAAGAAAAAGAAGAAGAGTAACAGCGTCACCCGTACCTGTGTGCGCGAAAGAAACAACGAAAAACACCATGCGGATACGCGCCATTCGTCGTGCTAATAAAGAGCACCTACGGTGATTGAAAATAACCGGACGGAACGGACGTGACGGCCACACATTCCAAGTACGCCAAGTACGGGTTTCGCAGGAAAAGAGAGAGAGAGAGAGAGAGAGAGAGAGAGAGAGAGAGAGAGAGAAAGCTGTTCCGCCAGTTATGAGATATAATACCGTCCATGTGTGGACTTACCGTTGACGACAGCGATGACGCCGAGGACGCATAGCAGCAACGATCTCGCGCACATCTTAGCTTCTTGTCTTTTCCGGGAGTGCGGTCCTCCACAGGGCGCTTTCTCTCTCGGCGAAAGAAGAATAGGAAGAGAAAGATAGGCGCGCGCGCGCGCGCGCGCGCACACACACACACACACACACACGGGCGATCCTTACGTGTTTTTACCGAGCATCGTCCGTCCCCGTCCGCGATTGAATTGTTCTATTAACGCTCGAGATGGATTAGCCTTGCGTCTGATCGGCCGGTCCGGGGTCGATCAGTCGATAATGAGCGCGAAGACGTTTGACGGAAAAGCTGTGTTCGCCGTCATTGTGGAGTGACGACGCCGGGGATGCCTCGAGTCGACATGGATCGATGGTCGATTCACCTTTCCTCCGTGGACGACGTCTCGGTGGGCGAACAGCGAGGATCGAGTGTGCTCGTCGGACGGAAAAGCGAGCTACTGCGATTGCGAAATAGCCGGTCGCTAATTAGGAGCGATCGCATTAATCGGCTCTTAACCGCTAAGGCACGGAAGTACCTCGATCGAAATCCTATCTCGCCCGTCTCCTAACTCGCCTCTCGTGATAACCCGAGGCTCAAGCTTCCAGGAGCTACCTCCTTCCTCGTCCTCCGTCTTTCACCGCGATGCCCCCCTCCCCCTCCCTCCCCTCTGATGTCTCTTCAGCGTTCTCTCCTCTTTCGTCTCCTTCTTCGGCTGCCACCGTCGCCGCTGCCGCTTCGCCTTTGGTTTCTTTCCTCTAGCCTTGGGACATAATACCCTTCCCGCCGCAAATCCTCGATCTACTTGTTTGTTCTCGATGACGTCAGCTAGCTACGCCGAAAGCTACCCCGCGATTCCTTACGGTGAGCTTCCACGATGCGGGGACGGTCCGGAAGATCGGGGATTCCTTTTCTCTTTATTTCTCTCTCTCTCTCTCTCTCTCTCTCTCTCTCTCTCTCTCTCGCTCCCGCGAGTAACTTACTTCTGAGTAACTTAAAGTGCCTCTCGGCGAAACCAGACGTTCCTCTTATTCATCGAATAGCCTCAACTTTTTGTCTCTCCGATCAAAGCGTTTCCATTCGACGCTCGGAGGGAGAGAGGAACGCGAGCGAGACTCGAGCCCGAGGTCGTCTCCCTTCTTACTTCTTCGAGCGAAAAGTTTCGACTCGTCCGCCAACGTCAACAGAGGATAACCCTTTGCGAAGCCACGCAGAGAGGATGACTTCCTCGGCTCGACGCGACTTGATCGCGCCGTGCGCGCGCGCGCGCTCGACCGGACTCGGGGATACGACTCGGGGATGATTCGCGATTCGGCGAGAGAGTGTCACGGACTCGCAACAAGCGCGCCAGCTTGTCCAGCTTCGGGACTTCCGGCGCATCAAGTTCCGCGCGCGCGGGGAGGCTCGCGCGAGGAAACGGCGCGCTCGCCACCGTCTGTGCTGCTCGATCTCGCTGAAGGCGCGCGTGACAACCGGCGCGAGACGCTTCCGACCACGGCGAGTTCGCGTCGCTTACTGAGCCTCGCGGAAAAGCTCCTCGAGGAAGGTCCGCGAGACGAAAGCACGTTTCTCACCCCCACCCTTATCGCGCGATTACGTGTGCGCCGCGCGCGCTGATTGGCCGGGCATGCGCTTCAAGCTCCGTTGAGTAACGTGCGTGCCCTCCTGGCGGCTCTCCTCGCTCGCCGGCAAAAGGGTGGCCAGGAAGGGTGGCCAGGAAGGGTGGCAGGGGGGAGTCGCGGGGTGAGGGGGTGAGAGAAGGGGAAAACGAAAGCCCCGCGCGATGCTTTCGGAGCACTGGCGGAGTAGTGTTGAAGCGCTGTTGAAACCGTCGGTAGTGGGGCGACAACGCCAACCGGTCGGGGACGCGCGCTCGGTGACGGCGCGACGGCCTTGGAGGGGTGCGGAAAAGACACCGGGTACACGGCGCGCTTCGCGCCACTAGCCGCGCTCTCGCACACGCGTCGAGAGCTTGCGGCAAAAGTTATGACCTCAAAGGGGTCGTTAACGAGCGCGCCCGCCAAATTAGTATAACGGCGCGCCCTTCGCTCCCTCTCTCTCTCTCCCTCCCTCTCTCTCTCTCTCTCTCTACCCCTACTCCGCCCGACCTGCCCTCCCGATGTACGAACCCTTTCGTGTCCTTCCTCCACCTATCTATTTGCCCGTGATTATTTTTCACCGGACTCGAAACGGAAGTACTATCCATCATCCGTCTATTGGCCGACTTCAGGCGAATATCACAGGCGCTCATTGCCGATCGATTCATTACATTTTGCGCCGCTTTATGATCGATCGTCGTGATTACGCTCGCGAATCGCGCTATCGCGGGATACGACGCGGGGCACTTTCTTCCCGTGTGCTGCGGGAGCTTTGGGTTAGGTTAGGACGTTCACAGCGTAGGCGTTTGCGAACAATCTGTATCGCGATTCAGCTGCGACGATTCACGGTCAGCCGTATTTAGACATCGATTTTGCGGACCCGGCTCTGTCTTAACGTCATGGGCCGGATCCGCTTATCTCGGTTGCATCCATTCGACTCTAGACCTGGTAACCTTTATTATTTATTACAGCAGCGTGCGTATAAATAGTAACACGCGTAATATAAATAGTAACACGCCGCTTTCTTATGTACGCTTCGCTGTATGCGCGCGCGCACACATACACACACACACACACACACACACACACAAAAACGTGGACTTTTATATATTTTCCCAGCGTGAAACACACAATGGTGTTTAAAAAGTTATTATCCGACGTGTGCCAGGTGTTGAATCGTTATTAAGTGCCGCGCGACACGCGTTCGTTACGTTTTATTACATATCCAAATAAAAATCACCACGAAAGTGAAGCGGCCATTTTCCACGAGTGCGCGACCCAAGTACTTTCCGCGATACTCTCTGTTCGCGCCACAATTTTCTCGCGGGGGCCGTCGTTACTCACGAAATTATTTTCCATTACGCGAAACTTGCTAAAACTCCCGGAAAAAGTAAAAGTAAGAGCCTCAACGGCGCAGCGCGGCGCAAAACAGCCAGCGGCCGCCGGATTTCGCGAGGGACGACTTCGGAAATGTCGGCGACATCGCCGCTCCTCTAGCATGGCGTAGCCAATATATAATGCGCGACGTGTTCCTGCATTTCAAATTACTGCAACGTACTACTAGCGACGGACGTACGGACGTCGCTTCTCGATGCAGCCGATTCTCCGCCGGCGACAGTATGATACTATGAATTCAAGCAATCTCTCTCTCTCTCTCTCTCTCTCTCTCTCTCTCCCTCTCGCTCTCCCGCTCTCCATCTCTTTGGCCCTTTCTCCTTCGCTCCTTCTGTCTACTACTACTATATTGCGTTCGGGCGGTTATCATCCCGGTTTTAGGTGCCACACGTTATTCCAACCCAGTGTCGGATTTACGGCCCAAGGCCCCCCGAACGCAGTTTCTCTTCGGAGCCTTACGTTGATAAGATACGTATATCACGAATACAATATTCGAGAGATCCACGTTATAATTTATACGCGTAATCGCTCCGTTAATGTCTCGCCCATTTTAACATCTTTGTGCGACATATCAGAGAGATTGTCGTTCGATATGAATATATTAGGTGTAAAAATGAACCGTCCGATGTCCGACACGCGCGGGATCGGCTGCATCTTCGTGATTCCGGGACGATTTAAATTCAAATCGCCGCCCGCCGCGAATCCGTGTAACGCGTCAGCGATGGGCGCTGTTGTTTCATAACGCGGATTAAAATAGCGGTCGCGCGCGCTTTCCGCTCCGAAATGTCCTCTGACGGTGTGTAGTGTAGTTGTTTTCTTCCTTTGTAAATATCATTGGGATGCCATCTAGCCCGGTTAATCAAACGCGCTTTCGTGGGAAGAAATGGAGACATGTTGAAAATTATCGGACGTAAATAACGAGCACGGGATCGCGGGCACACCTGCCGAGGTGTAAACATCGCCGAGGTCACGCCGAGGACGAGGAACGCGGTCGCTAGTATTTTTGCTAGCTCGAAGCCGAAGCACGAGCGTGGGAAAAAATATGTCGGTGTATATCGAGGAAGAGACTGCCTTGGCAGTGATTCGTTAAATTTTTTTAAATTGACACTGCGCATAAATATTATGCACAAAATATCAGATTAATATTCGTAATAAAGTGTTGCAAGAGAAAGCCAGCTTCAGTGCAATCAGTATGGTTTTTCATTCGTCAAATATATATCTTATCGACTATCACTCTTAAGGTTTCGCGTATATAATTTTTCGCAGAATAAATATTTCCGCAATGATTAGAGAGGAAGCAAGCAGTGCTTCTCGCAATTCATATTTTTATTAAACTAGATATGCACGTATATTATCGCGCAATATTTTTTATTATCTCTGGCCGAAAACCAATGCGATTTATTTATAAGCACGCATCATAAAACATGACGCTTTCTGAGCGTTTGATCGATACACTCACCGACTTTCGTTGATTCCTGTGACTCTGCATCCGTCCAATGTCCGTCCAGTCTCCTCAGCATTCAGGACAAATTTCTTTTTCACAATATTTTGTCGCTTTTTCTTCCTCTTTGTTTATCTTTTTTCTTTTATTAATTTCGATGAGATTTAAGGAAAAGAAATGGCGAGACAAAGAAACGCGTATATGGTCGCGCTCAAGAGATGAGATTTGTATCCCAAAAAAAAGTAAAGACGATAAATTGCAACGTTCCGAGAATGTATATACGTGAGACGCGATTCGCGTAGAATCAATCGCGAATGAAAATTACGACGTTTAGACAAGAGAGAAAAAACGAAAATGTTTTGTTTCGCGAACGGTAATTCGAAAGAAACGCACGTCTTGTTTCGTAAGGACCAAATTGTAATGTAAATAAATGCGCGTACCGAATTTATCGGTAATTTCAAATTAAATATCGCTTCTGACACGCGTGAAAAATGTGGAAAATTGATCAACTCGACAGACAAAATTTATCAAGCCAAATAAGATAAATAATGGAGAATTTCACGTGCGATGGTGCAATTCTGATCAAATTTTAACATTACACACTACTCGAAGCAGGAGTTATGTTGATTGAATCGCAGCAAATAATTTTCCATATCTTCATTTCAATATAATAACAAACAAAAGCAAACTATTTATATCTGTATCTTCTAATGATACAGAGCAAATATAAAAGAGAGAAATATATATTATATCTTAAAGATTCTGTTGTGTAATACGGTCACTGGAAGACACGATCTCCTGATTATTTCGAGCAACGTGTGAAAAAAGTATAATTAAATCGCATTGATTTTCTTGAGATATTGCAAACACCCATCACCATAAAAATGTCTTTTCTTCTCTGACTCACCGATACACAGTAGCCAGAGTCAGCCGCGTTCTGCTGCGGATCTGTAACAAAAAATATAGTTTCGTTAGTTAAACCGTTAGGTTACAAGTTAGGTTAGGTTAGGTTATGTTAGATTGAGTTCAGTTCGCGGAAGCGCGCGCGCGCAGATGTAAATGTTGATCCTTTGCCATTGAAATTCAACAGCTTTTGTTCCAATCACTAGGTTTTCGATCGCAATGAATCAAGAAATGTACAAACGATCAGTGAACCTCACCTTCAAGCCGACTCTGCTCGGCCCGAACCGGATCCTCCGGTGCGGCGTCGGCGTCCGTCGAAACTGCGTCCCGTAGCTATCGCGTGGCCGCAGACTCCAGCAGATCTGTAACAAAAAGAGAGTTTCCTCATTAGTATTACAGTGTCAAATGCGCCCCGCATCAAGTGTACGAAGATTCGAGAATACAAATTCTTCAACTTAACCAAGTTAACCAATAAAAGTTTACCTTTAAAGACCATGAAACACTGCTATTGCTTAAGATGCTCCGGATTGTCACGCACGCACACACACACACACACACGTATGTACGCACGCACACGCACATGCACGAATATTACACGCTACACGCGCGCGTATACTGTGATCGAGCGTGAAGATTCGGAAATGATTACGCGCGGCGATCCGCCGATCCGTCCGCCGCCGCGGCGTAAACGATAATGGGAACGGTCGAGGCAATTGCGTACTGATGAACATGTTGTTTGCAAAGTCGCGCGACCTTGTCCGGCCGGGACGCGTCTCAGAGAGCCCGTAACGTTGTATAAAACTTACCTTTTTAAATAACAAGGTAAAAAGAGGCGCCAAGTACACACGTAACGCGTATTGTGTTATTTTTAGAAATTTAAAATTATTGTTTTCCAATTTATATATGTAACATAAAATTGTACAAGTAAAATTTATAACTCTTTGTAATTTGGATTATTCATTTGTACATATCTAATACATACATAGGAAACGTGCCAAGATTATCACGCACTACTTTGACGATGCAAAATTTTCATTTATCGCGAAATCTCAAGTCCTTTTGTAATCATCTCTTTTCCGTGCACTCAGGTATCGCAGACTCAGCGCTGGCCACGTATTCCGCTTACGTATCTGGAATAAGAAAAGATAGTTTCGCCAATTAGATCAGATCAAAGATTTCAGCATAACAAACGAATGCACGGAGATAGAGCGTATCAGCGCTTCGTATTCGCGAGCGTATTCGCGAGCGTAATTCCGGGATTTTTATTCTGACTGTATTCTAACTCTCGACCGCGAAAGCTTACAGGGCGGAGTACAGGGAAATCTAACGTAAACCTACCTTCGAGCCGAACTTGCTCGGGCCGAACCGGATTCTCCGGTGCTGCCGGATCCGCATCCGCCGGAACTGCGTCCCGGAACGGCGTCTGCCGTACAACCAAATCTGAAATAAGGAATATTTTTTCCAATTAGTTACTTGGCAGCTACTCAATCCAGCCGCTGGTTAAAAATCCGGAAGTGTCCTTCCGACAGAATTAATTCCGAAGACACGAAGAAGGCGTGATAATGTCGTCCTTTAAACGTCACGCGACATACGTTCCGCTTACAATCGCAAATCAACGATCGCAGCTCGAGTTTCCACATATCCGATATATTTTCTATTGACTTGTTTATATTGACTTTGATTAATCGGACAGGACGGAAAGTAACGGTCGACATCATACGACGTGAAATAAACTTCCGGCGTGAAAGATCGTTACGATATTACGTGCTCTCGAATACGCGACGTGTTGGACGTGTTACTCGCCGAGGTGTCTCCTCTCTGTCCCCCGAGTTTTCAAATAATTTGACTCTCTCCGAAATGGACGACGATTATTTTGTCGATTCCGCTGAACAGTCAGATGTCACTTTGGCCGCTTTTATTAATCCATGATTCGATGAGCGGAACTTCAACTAACGCGAACACCTTCGTGTTCTGGCGCGCGGTTAATGTAATTCTCAATTAATTCACGTACATCACAGTGGTCGAACTTAGAACGGAATGGGCGTCACGTCCCCGGAGACATAAGTAATTATCCAATAGTTGCAGCAGCGTAGCGGCAAACGCAGACATGTACCGGCGGATTCCGCGTGTTGTGCCGTGAGAGAGCGGCATCGCGATCTGAAATGTTAATCTTCGGCGCGTTAAAGCGACTCCGCGCCAGACCGTGTCCAAGAGTCGCGCTTGATCATTGAATTCATCGAGTCATAATGAACCGACGGGTCGATGCAACATCGGGCCACAGGGATCCCAGGGGGGGGGCCAGGGGCGGCGGCGCAGGAGGGTCGCAGTTGACCCTTTCCCTTCGCACTCGCACTCGCGTAGCTCGCTAGCGGTGATGGGTACACAATTTCAAGATCCGCCGCAAAGTGGCGAGGAGAAATAAGGAGAAAGTTTTTGCATGACAGAAAACAGAGAGAGAGAGAGAGAGAGAGAGAGAGAGAGAGATTCCGCGAAGGAATCGTAAGGCTACTTAAGCGTTGTAGTAACGTCAGACCTTTCTTCCTGCTTATATCAATCACTACACTCTGTCTCTATGTAATATAAAATTCTTTGTAAACTCCCTCCCGTCTCTGTGCCACCGCCCCGGCTGTAATTAGACGGTGCATTAGACGATGCGAAAGACAAAGCCCGTTAACGAAAGAGCATCTCGCGCGGCTTCTCAAGGAGGAAAATGTTTACAAAGCCACGTACGTGCAGAATCGTACAGATTGGCGTCTGACAAATGGAAGAATTTCAACTTCAAAGAGAGAGTATTAAGTTTGTGATTCTCTGCGGCGCTGCTGTGCCTGCTCGTGACACAAAGCGGGCGGTGAGGATAATAGCGAGATAGAAAGCGACGTCGCTTCTCGCGACGTCGTTAGCCGTTCGACGTGTGACCGCGGTAATTAAATATTAAAGCAGGACAGAAAGAGAGATAGGCGAAGAGAGATAAACAAGGGAGGCGCGAGAAAGCGCGGCGAGATAAGAGGAGTGCGATGCGTGCGCGCGCTCGTTAGATCGCGCGGACGCGACATTAACAATTCGTCGTCCGTTCGAGTTCCTTAATTCGCGTTTCAAAGGGCCCGGCATTTTTCCAAGCGATAGCTCCGGCGCAGACTGCGGCGATAATCCGCAGCGGAACACCCGACGAAGATGAATTCCGCGCAAAAAGATTCTCGCGTCTCAACCGTCTCGCGCTTTGATCGGCGTACCGTCAAAGCGACGTTTCACTGTCTCATTTCGATTCTGTTTTACTTCGCCCGCATATCGATATCCTTCGGCTTTTTTTCCGGCTTTTTACGTTTCTCCGATCCTCCCCGGCGCGCTCATCTCCGCACCTGTCCCCTTCCTCCCGCGCTCCTTCCTCGCGACGCTGTCTGTCGCCACCTCGCCGAGACCGATTCTCAGTCTAGCGTGGAATATACCGAAGGGATGAAAGAAAGGATCCAGTCATTAAGCGTCGCCGTCGCCGTCGCCGTCGCGTCGCGTCGCGTCGGCGGAGAAAGAGGCGCGCACAAACGCAAGAAGAAAACGAGAACGCGTTCTTCCTCCCTTTTCTTCCTCTTCGCGAGAATCCCCCCACTGAGAGACGGACGGCTGGTAACGATCGCGCGCCGATTCCAACGCGATTCCCACTGTCGCGACGGTGCAACTTACCGGTATCGCTTGTCCGCGCATCCGGAATGCGGGAATTGTGTACGCTCGCGGACGATTATCGCGACAATTTCATTTCGCCGATACACGCGGTTAGGCAGGCTTCAGCCTAGCTTGCCCGCCGCGGCTTGCTTCTCCGGCTGGCCGACTGCCGACCAACGAAACACCCCGCAGTCGCCGAAATGCGAAAACTGCTCCGCACACACCAGAGACATCGTCATCCGGCTGCTACACTCGGTAAATTTCCCTCCGGGACATGTTTCGTACATGTATCGAAATCCCGTTTAATCGAAATTTCGAATGTACGTTTAATCCATTCCACCGCTCGCTCATCCACCCGCCACCCTCCCTCCTCCCGTCAGCCGGCTGGCCCGCTCTTCGCAAAATCGCCTGTGTCGCCCGCAAATGCGCTAGCAACATGAAAAAAAAAAAAGAGTACTCTCCTGCAGCTCGCATAGACTTGAAAGCCTGCGACGGACGGATTGAAAAGTCGGAGCACTCGAGGCTAAATTGTAGCGGTAGCGTTTTTCCCGTTGAAACGATTCGATTTTCAAAGCGATTTTTTTTTTGTATCCGGCTTGCGAACTTTTTGACAGGAAGCTTAAACAATATGCATGAAAAGCTATTAGTTTTTTTTTTTTTCCTGTTTTTTGCAAACGCCAAAGCTTACCGCGAAAACAACGGCGGGAGAGGAGACCGGATCCCGCGAATTAGCGGGAACCGAAGTCGCAAAGTAAACGACGCCGTTGTGAGTTGCAAACGGAATTTTCGCGCGTCTGCTGAAAAGCCGGCCGCTCGATACGCGTACGAGAATAGCTGTGTTGAAAAAAGCACGGGTCGCTTGGCACGGGGCGCCTTTGGGGCATCCTGCAGCTCTCCGAACGCGTCACGTTCGACGCGTGTTATATAAATACAACGGCGGAGTCGATTAATTTATGAACTCTCAAGCAGACGCGCGAATTACACACGAGCGCAATTGACAACGAATAACGAGGAACGAGATCGGTCTGCTTAATCGAGCGCCGCCCCTTCTTCGCTTATTGAAATCAATCGAGCTATCGGACCGGCCGACGGATGAATACATTTCAAATCGAAGACTGCAATAACACGCAGATTGTTGTGAGAATAAATTCCAGACTGAACTCTGTCGCGCCGGCCGATCGGTGGTTTTTCCCCGGCTTGGCACGGCGCGGCGCGACGCGACGCGACGCGACGCGGCGCTCATAGCGTGAATTCGAGCAAAAGCAAACGAGCGACCGTCAGTGCCCGGCCAATTGTCTCGCACCGATCAATTCAAGCCGGTCGATTATATTTTCCAAAAATGCAAACGACTCTATAACGCCCTCTCGCCGATCTCTTCCCTTCCTCTCACCTTTCCACGCTCGCTTCCGTTTTTTTTCTTCTTTCAGGCAAGAATTTTTCAATATTCGCTACACTTCCCTCGGGATGTTCCGCGTATCGATATTCCATTTCGTCGGGAATTGAGCGACCGACGTACGGCGTGGTGACAGAGAGAGAGAGAGAGAGAGAGAGAGAGAGAGAGAGAGAGGAGGGAGGAGGAAGAGAGAAAAAGTCTCGTGAGAGAGAGAGAGAGAGAGAGAGGGGGGGAGGAAGAGAGAAAAAGTTTCGTGAGAGAAAGAGAGAGAGAGAGAGAGAGAGAGAGAGCGAGAGAGAGCCGGGGAAGAGAGTGGCAAAGGAAGGCCGAGCTGCGGGTGTGAGAACGGAGAAAAAAGGCGAACGCGCTCGCCACGCCATCCGGCTGAAAGATGTGACGAGACCGTCGTTTACCTTTATCGTCGCCCTTACTTTCGTCATCGTCATTATATCGACTATCGTCAGACCGCCACTGTGCTTGCACCCCGTATGTGCACGTCGGTATAGCGGCGTGTTCC